CCTTGTACCGTGGGCGGCCATGTTGAGAGTCTTCTTGGATGTGGACCACCATGCTACTCCGGTTTCCCGCCTGGGAGGCCCTCTCCTCAGCCTCCCGTCTCTCTTCCTCGATGTTCATGAACAACCTGAGAACAACCAGATTGAGGAAAGCCCCGATGACGGTTAATCCCACCAGGATGTACATAAAGCTAAAGGCCACATAGAGCGGCTTCTTCTGAAGGGCTCCTTTCGTCTGAAGGGCCACGTAGTCTCCGAACCCGATTGTAGTCAATGTGATAAAACAGTAATAGAAGGCCTGAAAGAAGGTCCACTCTTCACAATGAGAGAAGGCAGCTGCTCCGATGCAGAGGGTGCCGATGCAGGAGAAGAAGCCGACGGCCACCATGTTCTCCATGGAGACCTCGGTGCTTCTCATCCGGCAACACTTCTTCATCCGTTGCAAGAGGTACTTGACGAAGGTGTTCATGCGTTCGCCAAGGCTCTGGAACATGACAAGGGTGAGTGGAATGCCCAGGGCAGCGTAGCACATGCAGAAGGCCTTCCCTGCATTCGTCCCAGGGGCAGCGTGGCCGTAACCTGGAGAAGCAAAAGGACAACATGGATAAGTGATGGAAGAGGGAGGATTGCAACTGGGGGAGGGGGAGGAGAAGGATGACATGACTAGAGCCCTCGAGATATGAGGAAAGATCACAACGTTTGAGAAAAGAGAGAGGGAGATGGTCTACTCCCTTATCCCAAAAGTGTTTTTTCCAGAAGTCAACTGGACTTTCTTTGTGGGGGCGGGGTTTGTCTTGAAAATCTTTTGCTTCTCATCCAAGAAGCTTCTTCAATTTTGATTAATTGGTGGGGTTCCAAATCCCACTGTTCCACTTTAGCACATCACCTTGAGGTTCAGTACTATGAACAAGAGACTAGACCTGCCTATGGAGATTCTCAATCAGGGGTCTTCAAACTTGGCCCTTTTATGACTTGTGGACTTCAACTCCCAGAATTTCTCAGCCAGCCTCCATTTTGTTTGTTAGATTTAAGACAGGGGTCTTCAAACTTGGCCCTTTTATGACTTGTGGACTTCAACTCCCAGAATTTCTCAGCCAGCCTCCATTTTGTTTGTTAGATTTAAGACAGAGGTCTTCAAACTTGGCCCTTTTATGACTTGTGGACTTCAACTCCCAGAATTCCTCAGCCAGGCTGAGGAATTCTGGGAGTTGAAGTCCACAAGTCATAAAAGGGCCAAGTTTGAAGACCCCCGTTCTCAATCATCCAGCTCATAGCTGTCCCACAGGTTCTTTTTTTTCCCAAAGACAACTGGACTTTCTTGGTATTCTCTTTGAAAACATTTCTCTTCTCATCCAAGAAGAACTGAAGAAGCTTCTTGGATGAGAAGTAAAACATTTTCAAAGAAAAAACCAAGTTGGAAAAAACACCTTTGGGACATCCAAGCTCAGAAAGCACCAAGGATCCCTCACCTCTTGCGTACCCTCACTTTATGATCACATCACTTAGCGATGGAAATTTTGTTCTCAATTGCCACTGTCTACCTATATAGGTGATGTCATTGTGGCTACTACCGGGTACCATACAGTGTATGTGCATTGTAGTCCACAGAATCAGAAAAATGTGGACTCCGAAATACAACTGCCATTCTGGCCACAGGAAGTTCTCCAGCCTTGAATTGATTGTTAGGGTCCACCCCTTCTAAGGACTTTTTTCAAAGGAGCAAGATTCCACATTACCTGGAAATGAACCATTTGCAAATCATCATTTACTCCATGCACAGTTTCCCAGGGTTGGCTTCAACCACATCAAATTAATTTCCTATGTGGAGCATTTTTAGAGAGAATGTTTGGGACTCATGAACTGCCTGAAATGATTCCACCTCAGAAAAATGCTTAATATTCTTTTTCATCCTGCAATCCAGAATTAGAGTCACTGGGAGTCATGTGGCATATACATTTACATTATTATTGTTAATAATATTTCATTAGCCATCATAAAGTTTATAATTAACAGCCTTAAATTATTATTAAAAACACTTTTTTCAGTTAGTCTAAAAAAGTAGATACTGCATGAAGAAGAAGAAGAAGAAGAAGAAGAAGAAGAAGAAGAAGAAGAAGAAGAAGAAGAAGAAGAAGAAGAAGAAGAAGAAGAAGAAGAAGAAGAAGAAGAAGAAGAAGAAGAAGAAGAAGAAGAAGAAGAAGAAGAAGAAGAAGAAGAAGAAGAAGAAGAAGAAGAAGAAGAAGAAGAAGAAGAAGAAGAAGAAGAA